AACGTCTGTAGCGCTTTTCATAAGTTTTGAAAACTGTAGGAAACATTGCGAAGGAAGCCATTAAAGCGCGCGTAATTGACGCGCGAATCACGTGGGTATCCAATTAAAAAAGTTTCAATTTGGATACCTGTAAATGGACGCTCACGTGATCACGTGCCAATTACGTGGCAAATAGGTGCGCAAGAAACCAATCACAATCTAGAATTTGTTATAGATACGATTAATACTCTTATAATATAGACGCGAGTGTTTTACTGGAAAATACACCACTCGTAAAATTCATACGAAACCGCATCCAGGACTCGGGTGGCGTATTTTCCATTTATTTGATAGGTACTGAGATTTACCCACGAAAATCATAGTGAACAAAACTTGCACTGATTCCAAATGTAGCCAATCAGGAGCACGAACGACAAAATTTCACTGTGAAAAATATCGTCCGTCCAATCAGCGACGCAAACGACGAAATTTCATTATTGATGAATGAACGTACTGAAGAGAACGTCATCCGAGAGCCGTTGCACAAAACCCGCTCGCTTAAAAAAAAAAATGTCCGAGGGAAAGTTTGAAGCTTCTGTTTGCTCAGTCGAAAAATTTAATTTAGGACAAGAAAACAAAAATACCGCTCAAAAAACTGAACGAGATGAAAGATTGCTTAAAAAATATTTTTGAAAACGAAGCAGGAAGACAGGAAAATTGAAGATATTTCAGCCGTTAAGCTGAATGAATACATTAGCCAATTTATCATCTCCGTCCGCACTTAATATGGCACCGAGTACGAGTCACCTTCACTTCGAAGTTTAAATGCCAGCTTCGAGCGACACTTGAAGAAAAAGGGCTATTCTAGTAGCATAATCAACGACTTGGTCTTTGAAAAAAGCAGAAAAGTTCTTCAATCCAAGGAAAAACAGCTAAAGAAGAGAGGAAAAGGGAACAAACCTAACGCATCGGTAGCTTTGACAAGCAAGGTATTTTGCAATTTGTTTACCAAATTCTACACGAAAAAATCTCAGTACCTATGAAATAAACATTACAGCATGGAAAATGCTATGTACGATTTTTATTCACTCGTTGATACGTATCAGAAAACTCACTCGTTCGCTGCTCTCACTTGTTCATTTTCTAATACTACTCAACTCGAGAATAAAAATCGTACCGTCGCATTTTCCGTGAAGTAATCTCTATATCTTCACTAGTGAAAAAATATCGATTACTTCACTGATATCATGTTTAACCCTTAAACTGTACTTAAATTTGTTAGTATATGATCGAAACATCTTCAGATCTTCCTCAAAAGTATTCGGCAATCTTCGGTTATCTTCGGAAATCGTCGGTATTCTTCGGAGATTTTCGGAAATTGTTCGGAAACGTTCGCGTGACTCCACACGGGATGCAATTTTTTCCGCAAAAAAAGTTAGCTAGTAAATAGTTTTAACCAGATTTTTTTCCATTTCAACTGAATTTAACATTTTTTTTGCAACAGTTAAAGTGGTATATATTTTTGTTATTGTTGTTGCTTTCGTCATTGTTGTTTTAATGCCTAGTAGCTTTCGTTAGTTAAATATTTTATTTTTTTAAATACTTATTTTACGCGGGAACTTAGCTTACAATGCTGTAACTCTTGAAAGTTCCTACTCCCCATGTTTAAATACATTTTTATGTGTGTAGGTGATTATACTAGAGACACTGTACGTTACACTATCCTGGAGATCTGACCCCAGAAGAGGTTGGACTCGGTTCGAAATGCAGCTTGGGTAAATATTGTAACGCGCTTCAGTTGACGTGAGCCCTCGAGCTGTTCGGATCTCTGCTCAGTCGACTGAAAATCTGTGAAAAGCGGAATTTCGCTCTTATTTATTATTTAAACGCTGGACTTCTAACTTTATTCTGCTCCACATTTCTTTGGGTTAGCTTTCCAACACGTGCTGATCGACTGAGGTAGTAAAAACATATTTTTTTGCTGATCGATTATGTCCACGCACGATCGATCGATTAATATCTTCGTCGATATTTTCTCTATATATTTTGCTTCTTTGTAGCGTATGTCAATCCTTGAATACTGCATGTTATTTTTACATTTATAGCTCAAAAGTTGT